GCCTCATCGAGACCGTTCACATATGGTAGTTTATGCACATCCCACTGTCCCAATGTTATGAAAAATAAGAACAGCCTGAAAAACAAACCGGCAATGGTGTTTACGCTTTGCAAGCGAAAACTTTTCGGAGCACGCAGTACACTGTGTGACGTCAGCGTCATTCGCCCAATGGGCATCGGAAAGGGGTAGCAATTCCTCTGCTAGTTCCAACATGCGAAGTTTCGACCTAGAAAAATTCTTCTAAATCACTACGCAAACTGGACTAGAATCACCCCAAATGGAACATACTCGCTCAAATGTCCTCCCAATTCCTCTAGAGCACGTTCAGACTGCTCGGCACGCTCAGCTACGGATGCGTACTTCTCCGACAATTCTCTCATTTCCTGAGTTTTTATAGGAATAAAGTCACAGAAATCGTCGGAAGTGAAAATATACTTATAAAAACTCTCTTTAAGCGTCACCTCTTTCAAGAACGGCATTTCCTTCAATTCCTTTTCAAGCGAGTCAACCTTCCGTCGCAGAACCGACAATTCACTTTCAGCCTCAAAAATACTCCATTACATGTACCTGCTGTGACGAAATCGCTATGAGCCTACCTGAGCAAGAGCGTTCTGCTTCTCCTGCAGGGCTCCAACCAATTCAGTGTGCTGACCGTACTTCTTCTCAAGCTCGGCTCTAATTACCTCTAGAAAAGTTTTTACTTCTGAATTACCTCTAGAAAAACCAAAAAACAATCCGAAACAAACAGGACAAATCAAGAGAGTTCCAAAACTATCCTGACCTGGGGTGTCGTTTTTGGTAGATAAATAAAGAGAAAAGCGAAAAAAAATCTCAAAAACTCACGGTCATTCTCGTTCCTTTTTTGAACATTTTCCTGCAGCATAGCATTTGACATTTCTAGATTCGAGATGGTTTTCTTCAAAAACTCGCTCTCCTATAAAATACGCTTCTAATTTTGCGCCATCCTACAACAACTACCGACTAACAACAAACTGTTCTTCCACCAAGAACTCAAATTAGAAGATAGTTAACAAAAACTTCTTTTGAAATGATAGCGATAGTATTGCTTTGAATACTACTATGATGATTAGGTAAAACATGTCATTGCTGCTATCCTGTGTCCCCAATTATTAGGTTGAGCCACAGAGTATGTGCGACTTGACACCATTTTAAAATATTCACAATTCATTAGTACGGCTAGATTTGGTGCTACATCAGTGCACAACTGTCTACAACTGTCTTCTAATCACAAGTGAATGATGGATGCCTCTCGCCCAAAATTACGTAGTCTTCGACGAACACTTGGACGACCATTGGTTTGCGATCATCGTGCTTCTCCACTTCAGCAAATGAGCAAGCAAGTGGACAGACTGATGACTGCCTGGGCACGCTGGCTCATTAGCTAGGTTTCTGCACAGAACTCCGGCATCCATTCAGGGTGGTGGGCTGCGAGTTGAACACAAATCACCAAATCGCGACCGCTTCGCAAGCACTGTGATTAGCCAAAACTAAAGTCTGTGGATGCTCTATCGAAACTGGACGAAATCGCAAAAAAAAGTTCTAAGAAACTGCAAAATAGAGACCGCCGGCAAACATTTGGTGATATCAGTTGAAGTATGTAATGATGTAATCCAACGATCGGGGAGCCTACTTCATGCAGCTATAGGAGGTGGTCGTCGCTGCCGAACTATGTGTTCCCACGGATGCCTCCGTATGCTGCTTGAATACCCTTGGGATCAGAATCCAAGAGACCTTTTGTCAGGCCAGGAACCTACGACCTTCACACAGCAAACTTCGGCATGTGTTGTACGCGTCTACCTAGCAACCTAACTCGTGTGGATTCTATGATGGAGAAAGAGGAAGTGGAGGAGAAAGCGATATGACTTGCTTATCGCTTATAAAATCTTGAAAAAATTTGTAAGAATTGATGTCTCTGACTTTTTCCTGGTGCTGCCGTCTAACACTAGAAAAGCCTCTATAAGATTATCGACATCTACAGCTAGGACTCAATGCAGGTCAAAGTTTTTCAGTCACAGAGTACGAACATGTTTTAACTCCCTTTTACGTTCTAATATGTTCCCACTGAAGTATTCAACCTTCAAAAAGCACGTTGGCGAGTTTATATGACCTCACTGTTTGGTTGAATTTACTTTGTTTTGTTTTGCATGTGTTTTGTTTTGAGTTTTTACTGTGTTCACATGTTTTTCACAACATGTCAAATAAATAAATAAATCCCTCCTTGTACAATTCCCCCGTAACTCAAAGGGCACGACTCATCGAGCTCTGCGTGAACTGAAACCCACTGCAAATTTACGGGTACTGATGCAAAGGTTGTCAATTTCTTGAATATGTTCAACATCCACGATCATTGGGTCCTGGTACGCGGTTGGCCTCCAGGGCCGCAGTGGTCCTGGCGGAACTATTTTGACAGACCCTCTCTTTTAACATACTGTCCATAAGAGAAACCATAAACGTACGAATTGTAGTAGAACTTTACCTCCGCGTATTGTTCTCGAATTCTTGACAGATCTTTTTCCAATTTCCGCCATTTCTCGTCGGCTAACTTCAACTTATCGTATAAGTCCGTATTGATCTTCTTCGTGTCTACAAGTTGCTGTTGAACAATTCGTAATGAATCCTCTCGCTCCACTATCTAAAAACAACTGTTATTTTCTGCATTAGCACCCCAGAGAAGAAACTTGCCTGTCCTAGTAATCGCTCTCGCTCTTCTTCCCACTCTTTTTCCTTACTTCCAGATGGTTTACTATCTTCAGCACGATCAATATTTTTGAATGAGACAAGCTGCAAACACCAATGAACAGGACATGCAACAGAGGTCACTCTATTTGATTAGGTAAACAAGATATTGTATGAAGTTAAGAATACTGCAGCACTAGCGATCAATCTGTAGCATT